AAAACCGTCCTGGCCCTCAAGCTGCCATTTTCCACGATGTACCTCCTGCCTCTCAAGTTACATTCTCAGATTCTGCATGCATTGTAGAGAAGCGGGTAGAAAGGAAATCTCTTAAAAGCACAGTATCAATATTATTGCAGAATCCGCATGACCATGAGTGAAATCATATGTGGGTGATAAGCGGGTGAGAGAAAGAAGGCAAGTCAGGAAAATCACAATTTTATGAGGAGTGCAGAAATTTTGCTCATTGACTGTTGGTCTAACTTGTCAAGTTTCCACACATGGAAGTTATTATTGCAATACTGTTGTCTTAAACAGACCCAAGGATTTTCACCATGAATTCACATCCATTTCAAAATACGACAAAAAAATATTAAAGCTTCCAGTATGCAAATTTTAATCTCTTTGGGTGTCCACAAATATATATGTGTGACAGTATGTCTCTATGACATTAATATCCATGTCATCAGTTGCAATGCTTGACACTTTTATTTGTGCATGTTTACTCTGCATTATAAAGAACGGTGGGCACTTCAATACTTTTCTGTGAATCGGACTTAAATCTGATCAAGAATACATCGCACTTAGGCATTCAGGCTGAAAGCTGTAAGAATTGTCAACGACCTTCGCCAAGCCCGCTCTCGGAGTTAGTGCAGATCATTAATCATATTTTATAAACAGGGATCCTTCTCTCGAAGCTTCTCAGCCCTCTTGCTCCCTCCCTGTCTCTCCCCCCGCCCCAGACCCTTCCTGCGTGGAAACACACGCACATGCACACACATCCCACATGCATGCAGGCTGCACTCACATTGCACACATGCAGAATGGCCCTGGCTGAGCGTCCAGCTTTGCAGGCACAAGCCCCTCCCTTGGCGCGCGTCCGGAGTAGTTTCTGTTGCAAATGCCCTAAGTTGGAGGGGCCCCGAGCTGCAGCAGCCGGTTACGTTAGCGAACGTCAGGCACCGAGAGAAATGCCACGGCGGAAGGTAACGCCTGGACTGAGGCGCGGCCTCCCCCGAGAGCTCAGTCAGGGTCCTGGATGGAACCCACGTCCACCGCGGATCGTCACGAGGTCAGCGGAACACTGACCGAAGCCCGGTGGGCGAGGGCTGCCTCACCCCGCGCACCGATCTACGTCACCGCGGGCTCGGGGTGGGGGGCTTCTGCTCCCAGAGCCTCCCCCGGCCTCGTCCCCGCCTTCCCCTCCATCTGCCGGCTCCCGCCCCTTCTCCTTCTGCACCACCCCCTCCCCCCACCCCATGGAAGCTTTCTGGGGTCAAACTGGAATTTCTATCCCCAGACTTGGTGCAACTAACTATGGCCCACGGAGAGAAGTAGCTGAGATGAGAAAATGGAGTTTGAAATAAAAAAATCACACGAACTTTTCAAGGATTTAAGGGGGGGGGGGAAAGTGATATTTTAAAACTGATATCCAGCAGAACGCTAGTTCTGAAGTCTTCCCAGTGGGACCCCATCTTGATCTGCTGTTAATCTGCAGATACTCTGCGCCTGGACTCCCCTAAGCGCCTTTAGCAGGAAGTTAGATGAAACGCACACCCCGAGCGGTTGGTAAAGCACGCGCGGCTGGGACCACCGGAAGGATATCCGAGTATAAATCTGGATTCGAGGCTTAGCGCTCAGGTGCCCGAGTCGGCTGGAAATGCATCCCCAGCACGCCTGCACGTATGGATGCGTGCTCGTGTGTGTATCCGTGTGTGCGCGTCAACAGCTTCCCCTAACTGGATCTGCGGCAGCGCTGGCCCTCGGGAAGCAGGGGCGACAACTAGCCGCTGGGATCGTGATTCAGTGCTATTAGGGGAAGAATTATCTGTGTCTGAGTCATCGCGAGCCTCCAGACTTTCCCCGCAGTGTGGCAGAACTTTGTGCTGATGAGACAATAGTGGAGCGTGTGCGTTTCCTACAGGGCAGACCATTCCGGTGCTGGGGGAAGCCTCGGGCCTGCGCCCGGCTGCTGGGGCCCGGCCCCCTCCCTGCGCCGCGTAGCCCCCGGAGCCCTGCCGGCGCCTGGGTCCCCGCGGGGCTGGCGCGTCCCGGGCGCGAGCGAGCGGCGCGGGGAGGGGGCCGGGCGCGTGGCGGGCCCCGCGCGCCCTCGCGCGTCCCCCGCGCCCGGGCGCAGCTGGCGCGGTCGGTCTAGTGCAGCGCTCGGCTCCGCGCCTCGGGCGCTCGGCTTCACCTTCAGAGGCGCGGGGCGTGCGCGTCCTTCTCCCCCGGCCTCCGCCTCCCCTGCAAGGTAGGGGCTGCGGTGGGGTCGCGGCGGGGTCGGCGGGGGCGGGGGCCGCGGGGACCAGGCCTCGACGTGTGGGGGACCCGGCGTGCGCTGCGGGGGTTGGGGGCGCCGGGGAGGGACTCCGGGGCGCGGGGAGGGCTGCTCGCTCCCCCGGTGGGTAGTTGCTCCGCTCCGCAATTCCGGGAGAGGGAAGATGCAACTTCAGGCGGCCGGGCGAGCTCCGGAGAGGTGGCTTTTACCGCAGTGGAGGGGCGGGGTGGGGGCCGGAGGGGAGCGCGGAGGAGGCGCTGGCTTTGTACACTTCGTCAAAGGCGACGCGGGAGGAGGGGAGCTCGGATGCGCTCTCCATCCATTAGGAGACAAAGAGCAAATTGCCTTACTTTAAAGTAAAACGCTCCAGCTAATGAAGGTGGGTGATGGGGTTGCGGGGCCCGAGGAGCCGCTTCAGTTATTAAGGGTTCGGCGGATGGGGTCGTTGCCTGTGGGCAGCGAGCGCGGCAGCCTCGGGTACAGGTTTGCGGGAGGGGCGTCGCTTTGCCCCCCCCTCCCCTGGCTCCTTGCCCGTCAGCTGGGAGCGCAGAAGTGACCCTAATGTTAAAAGAAGTGAGAGCTCTGAAGGGAAGTTAGGGCAGGGGTGGGGGTGGGGGCGAGGGTTCTTGCAATGACTCTGAGGAGCGGTGGGGAGGGGGTCTGGCAGGCGGGGGCTCCTCGGAGATGCACCCAGCCTGCCATGGGTGGGAGCAGGGGTGGGGATGGTACTGATCACGATTTACACCCGGGCACACACTAGGAAAGAATACCTGGGGTGTGTGTATTTGGGGAGGGGAGGGTCGGAAAAGCGCCTGGTCTGCCATTTCCAGGGAGAGCTAACCTACTGAAGAGTTACGGTCATTATTTAGATTAAACTGCCTTGTGAAGTTTTAAAGAAACTTTGTATGAATAAGTTGGTTAAAAGCCAGCCGAGCTGGGTATTTAAAACAGTGGTTCGTGGAGGAGGGTTGGTGTACGGTGACAATCAGCGGTGGTGGGCTGGGGGGCCGGTGGACCCCTGCTATTAGGGACCAGGGAAACTGAGCCTTTTACCCGAAAATTGTGGGTCTGTTCGTCAGCCCCGGTTATTATCGGCGTTAACAAGCTCCCGGCTGCAGACCCGGATCTGACCAGGAGCTTCTGGGTTGTGTGTCTGTATCCTACTCATTCCACTGGGCTTATTGATAAAGAAGTAATTGGTCTCCGGGTGTGCAGAGATCAACTTGCTCAGCCCTCTTTTTAAAATATATTCATCCTGTGCCTTATTTAATCCAGATGCACAAAAAGCCATTTGCTGCTGCATTGTTGGTTTACATTTTTTGAAAAGGCGACTGGTGTAACCTGTGGAATTTGAAATGCAAATAAAAGCTCGTGGGAGTTGAGGCAGAACAAATCAGCATTTATAAAGTGAAAAAGATTTAATGTCTCTGAAATCATTGCGGAGGAAAAAAAAACTGGAGAGGGGGAGTGCTTTTTCAGGGAATGAATTGTGACGTCAGGTCTTTTTGGAAAAGATGTTATTTTTAAGGTCTGAAACCCGGGTATGTAAAGTGCTTACAGGAAAAACAGATTACAAGATTAACATCTGTTAACATGATCGTTTATCTCCAGCCAAAAATAGGTCAGTTCTTTCTTAAGGAAACACTATGACTGGCGCATGCTTAAATAATAAAATAATGAATTCATAAATTAGGACCGGCGATGGTGATACTCTGACCTGTGAAGAACATTTTTTAATTTCGAGATCAGTGAAAGGTCAAAGTCCCTTTTGGGTGTTGAGGACAACTTCATCCCGCGTCCACTACCCGCCCCCCTACCCATGACCCCTCCTTTTCACAGCTAGCTTCCTCTCCGCCCCCACCCCGATTGCTAATTTTCCCTTTCATCCATTGTGGAAGTATAAAATATATTTAAATGGATATTGTCTGTCGCCCCCGTCCTTAAAGAAGGCAAACTCTCGGCGCAGATGGCTAACTTTCAGAGCTCTGCTGTTGTTTTACCAATAAATGAAACGGTAGGGAGGGGGGGAAAAAAGGAAACAGCCTTGCGAAGTCTCCCTGCCCCCTGGGTGTGAGTGACGGCTCTTCTGGCCAATCCGCAGCGGCTTTCTCCATCCCGGAGGTAATTTGGGGTGTGAGTGTGTACGCGCGCGCGCGTGCATGCGCCCATGTGTCTGCACACTGTTAAGTCCGACCAGCCCCGCGCATCCGCAGGCTCCGGATTTGCACAGTTGTGAGCTGTAGACGTGGACACGCTTTTATCCGAGTCTGTGCAGCTAGGTAGGCACTCAGCAGTTTCTCCTCTGAGTGTCCTCCTGTAAAGAATGGGCATCGGAGGTGCTTTCGGATTCAAGGCGAAACCTGCAGAAGGGGAAGCCAAGGAGTGATGTGATTATGCTTCTCAGAGATTATCGAAATGTGTGGTTCCTCTCGTCTCGTTCCCAAGCGACAGGCGCGCCCCGCTTCTTGGGGTTGGAGTGTTGGAGCCCACTCGCCCGGCGCTAAGCGTAGCGAGATCTGGAATTCTTGAAACTGGTGTTCGCTGTAAAAGTGAAGGGCAGCGTGTACCTTCCAACTTCAGATTTTATTTTCTCCCTGGCTGTTGATACTCTCTCCGTGGCAGAGCCTAGAATGTGACCAGTTCACGGTCAGGGAAAGTTCCGCTGCCCACCCGAGTGACGAACGCACAGCGCTGGCCGCGCGAGCGCGCACAATGCGCACATTCACGCGCGGGGAGCGTCCCGGGCCGCCCCGCGTTTCCTGCGGTTTAGCCCGGCACCCACTTTCCTCGGATTATGAGTGGTGGTGGTGTGTGGAAGTGTGCGGGCCGACTGGTCGCGCAGCATCTGCTCAGTGTTGGAGCCGCGGCGCCGCTTCGCCCCGGGGCGGACGGCGGTGCTGCGGGGAACGGGTTAAGGCCCCACTTGTGCCCACTCCTTCCCGGAGACCTTCCCTGGGAGGGACCTGCGCCCCGGCCTGGTCCACGCGCAGTGTATCCGGCTGCGGGGCCGCGCAGCGGTCACCTGTACGGTCCATGGGCGATCCCGGGCGACAAGATCCTAACTGGGCGACGAGGTGGTGTCCAGCCCCGCGCCCCCCGCCCGGGCCGTTCCCAACCCCCAATCCGAGTACGACTCGGTCCTCCCCCCCGCCCCCCATCTCTGTGAGCTCGCGGATGGTGGAATGGGTAGCAGGGGGAGGTATCGCTGGATTAAATCATTCCTATTTCTGCTCCTCCCGGGGTGCGGCGCGGGGCCCGGGGCGCCGGGGGGCGCGGGGGCTGGGCGGGGGCGGGGGCGCTTACCTGCCCGCCCCGGGGGAGGGGGCGGTGGCCGCGCGAGGCCTGGCTCACTGGGGGAGGGCCGGGGGCGGGGCGGGAGGGGCGGGGAGGGGGGAGGGCCCGGCCTGCGCCCCCGCCCCCCGGCGCCCGCCCCCCGCCCCCGTCATGTGGAGCGGACGTCACACGCCTGCACTGTAACCCAAGAAGTGAAAGAGACTGGGACCCACGGCCCAACTTCGCACCGTAACAAAGGCGGGGGTCCGTGCGGGCCGGAGGGGGTCTAGCTGGGGAGGGATCGGGCTCGCCGGAGCGAGTGGGGGATGGAGCTGGGGGTGGGGCCGCCCTGGGGAGGAGATGTTGGGGGGGGCTTGGCCCGGGCGTGAGGGCCTGGTCTGGGAGTGGGGTCCTGACTGGGGCGAGGGGAGCCCGGGCGGGGGTCCACGGGGAACGGGGCAATAGGGACCGGGGCCGGTGTACACGCGGAACGGGGCAGTGGGGGCCGGGGCGAGGGTCCACGCGGAACGGGGAAGTGGGGATCGGGGCGGGGGTCTGCGGGGGACGGGGCAGTGGAGGCCCGGGCTGGGGTCTGCTCGGGGCCCTGGCCGGGCGGGGGTGCGCGCGGCGGCGCGGATCGCGCTCTAGGGGCCCCGGCGCCGCCGAGGCCAGGTAATTGGTTTCTATTTTAAACTTCACTTTGTCCTGGCGGAGGTGGGGCGGTGGGAAAGGCGTGGCCCCTGGGCGATTACATAAGGATACGTACCTGATCCGGTCCGGGCAGGGGGCCGCGCGCGGCTTTGGGCGTGAGGGGCTGGTGGGCACCGGGCCCAGGCGTCCCGGTGCGGGGCTGTAGCGTGTGGAGTTGCTGCGCCCTGCCCGTGGGGGCCTGTGTACCCCACGCTGGAACCGAAGGCTCCGGGGGCCGGGGGCCGGGTCTGATGGCGGGGTCCACCGCGTAACAAAGGGCAGGGCTCGGGACTCTGGGCTGCGGGCGGCGCTGACCTAATGGCAAGTCACAAAAGTCTCAATTAAACGTGCCACAGAAAGGCATTTCCCCGTGAACCTGCCCTTAGTCTCCAGTCTTGATTAAAGATGATTTAAACATTGAGGTGCTCCCACCCGGTGGCTGTGTGAGACATACCATTAAAGGACTGACCGGAGGAGAATCAAGGGTGGTTATTCTCCCAACAGGATCTTCTCCGGGTTATTTTTCCTGCCTCCCTATTAATACGATTGGAGTATTTTGGTTGAGGAATGTAAGTGCTACTTTAGGGAACTCGGCATGCCTGCTATTCCGTAGGATCTTTCTGCTGCTGCGCAAAAAAGAGCTGATTTTATCATTTGTTTGTTCCTTCATTTTCTCTGGCATTCTTTGATTGTGGCGTCAAAATAGCTGTGTATTTATATTTACACAGACCGGCCAGAATTAAGTGCCCCGCAAGCCACTGCTGCGCTGCTTTCCGTGTGTGTGAAGTGGGAGGGGCGGAGCTGGCCCGGGTCTGAGGGCTCCGATCAGGGAGAGGGACAGACAGTGCCTTGAGAGCAACTCCCAGCTCCCCTGAATGGGCCCTGGGAGACCCTGAGTTCTGAGCCAGACTCCAGTATTTTGGTAATGGAATTCGAAGTTTGATGTGTTAAGATACAAATACATCGTGTCTGATATTTTTCTTAGTTCATTAGTAGGGCTTTATTTTGTTTAACTTGCTAATTTGAATATAATGAAACGCTTAAAGCACTTAAACATTCGTAAAAAAAAAAAAAAAAAAAATCGCAAGGGATGTGCCCTCAAGCTCACCGAGAAGAATGGGGGAAGTCTCTAAAATGAAACAGAACAGTTAAGGAGCCTATTTGGTAGGTAAAGGAGAGGAGTGCTGCTTCGTTTTATTTCTGAAAGCTGCTGTTTGTCAGAGCAGGCTTTCCAAACGGCTTAATATACTGAAACTTACTCAATCAAGAACTTTTAACATTTGGATGTGTAATTGATATTAGTCACTGATGACCCAAGAGTAGTTTTCATCACCAGTCTTAATCCCATTGTTAATTTGTAAAGGACCTTTAAAGTTGACTAATTTAGAGATTAAAGTTTTCTTGGGGCTCTGAAGTCCCACATGTCTAACTTTGTAACATATCCCACAGACCAACCCAGGGTGAATTAAATGGGCGATGTTTGTGAAAACAGGTTGATGCTGAAATTGCCTTGTCTCTACTTCCATGAATTAAACTTTAACTTCACTTACCTTACCTGCTCCTACTTGAAGATATCTGAGTCTTACAGGTGGAGCGTTTGGTGTGGAGATTAAGTTTAGCAACAATTATGTAAAAAAGAAAAGGAGACTTCTTTAAAGAATAACTCGGAGTGGGGTAAGCTCTAACAGATGGTTTTCAGCCTTACTAAATAGGGAAAAATGATGATCTGACCAAGGAATTTAAGGAGAGTTTAGTCATGGATAGTTCTTGAAAAACCAGTACTTGGTTTATTGGGTCATTGTGGATTTTTATTTATTCATTTTCTAGGATACGTATTGGTCTTATTCATAAGTTATCAGAACGGCTCTTTTATAAAGAATTTTGTGAGAATGCCTGTAAGTCTGGCCAGAGATTGTGTTTAGAATTTCAACTGCATTATACCTTAATGGCATAGAAATAGGAAACTGAAATAGAAGCCGATTCTGTTTAGTGGGAAGGAGCTTGTCCAACCGTATGTGCTTTCCTTTGATAATGTTTGTTTTCAACATTCAGGATACTACACTCTTTTGGTTTTTGTTCCATTTTCAACATCAGTGTTAGTTATATCGTTAAAAGTGGTATTTTGCTTATAATGTAGTTAGATTTCTAACGGAGTAAAGCAATTCTGTTGTGCAGGAAACACATAACTTTTCACTGGTGTTTGATGGCCATATTTAGCTGGAGACAGCTAAATTTTCTCAGTAACAGGCATAGATTTTGGCAGAAGGAATAGAACTAATGAAGAAAGCAGAAGAAAGTGAAAAGACTTTGATCAAATATCTGCAGTCATAAATATTTGAAGGTAGAAGTTGCATTCCTTCTTCAAAAGGAGATACTATAGGTGCTGTAAATGTTTCTACATTTTAGCTCTTGGATGGAGTTATTCTGGCACAGTTCTTTAAAAAATGCATCCCTTTGCTTTCCTAACGCCTCCCCCTCGAAAGTCCTAGAGGATGTGGGAAAGGTTTCTTTAACTCTTGCTGAACGCTGTTGGGGGAACACTAGTGGGGCCCTGTGCCGCCCTGTCCTTCGGCGTCCTCTCAGTTTACGCACAGCAGAGCGAGCACCCAGCACGTGGACCTGGCGTGGCTTGCTTAGCACTCGGCACCTTTGACCTTCTCCAGAATTCTGAATGTCTAAATAGGAAAAATTCATTGCATCACCGTCATCAGCTCCCAGATCCTTACTCTCTTGGTAGGAAACCACATCTCACTTGGCTTTGCATCTTTCAAGTGAATAGCAGCGGCAGGATGTGGCTTCCTTCTGCAGTCTGATCGGAAAGTGCAGAGGCCGGCTAGCAGGATGGAGCTTTGGGATGGCAGATGTGAATGTGGGGTGTGGGTGTGCGTCCCTGGGCACCTGGAGTTTGTGTATCAGCAAGTTTTTGACTGGTCGCTGGGTTGGCGCTCACTGGTGGCGTGAGTTACTCATGAGACTGTGGCCCTCTTCTCCTTCCGGTCCCCTCCTTGGGGATGTCACCTCTGACCTTTTCCAGCTGATGACCAGCAGTATGTTGGCAGTGGTCTGTTTGGGATTAAATGAGCCTTGGGACCATGAGAGTGACAGCATTTTTCAGATTCAAGCCTTGGTGTCCCTTCTCTCTGCCTCCAGGAACACGTGAATTTAGGGAGGGGGGAGGTGGGACTTTTCTCTTTGATGGAGGGGTGACCTTTGCCCTGAGTGAGATTCCCTCCCCACCAGAGTAAGTGGGGGGGCACTGATTTATAGGAGGGCACCCTCTGTATTTTTGGACTCCAGCTATGAATAACTTGCAGTTCACAGAAATGCTGGCAAATTGTCACAAGCCTGTATTAAGAGAGGAATCCCATCAAATGTTTATTTATGAAGAATTTCTTAATAAAACTAACCTTATGGGAAGAATAAGGAAAAACTTTCACTATAAATTTGAAATATCTTACCCAGTTCTTTAAAAATCATCTTTATTTTAAAATTAATTTTCTTCAAGAGAGGGCTGTTTTAGGGTTACCACTTAAATAGCTATAGGAGGAATATGCATGCAGGCCCCATAAATGCATTACTTGTAAGTGAGAGTTACACTGTCTGCCAAGGTGTATCAAGTGTGTTTCAGATGGACTGGTCAGAATGAGCAGTTACAACTGTCTGTTTGGTGTATTCTTTATCCCTCGCATCTGGCTACATGTGATTTGGGCAGCTGCAGCTTCTCTTTCCAGAGCTAAGGCTGGTTGTCATGTTTATGTCCAGAATGAACTGTTTTCCAGCAGCATATATCAGAATTGTAACAGAGTGTAATTTTTGTGGCTCTCACGTCCCTTAAAAGTAGTTTTCCCAAAAAGTGCTGGTATTTAGCCTTCAATTCAAATGGCACTCAGAATCACAAAACAGTAGTAATTAGAAATGCAGCTCGTTTTAGAACCCAAACATGTAAATACGTGTAAAATGATGAGTCAAGCACCACCGCAGAGCTTTGGAAAAATCAATTCAAAAAGCCACTCCATTGGGTGTAGGTAGATTTTCCTGTGTATTTCAAATATGTGTTCATTTTGGTAGGTTTTCTTTTTCTTTCTGTTCTGTTGTGGTTGATGATGTTTTGCAGTCAGGAATTTAATCAAGTCGTTACGTTCTGAAAACCGACTTTAAGAAATATGTTTTACATGTGACCTGAAGTTCAGACACTTCCTCAATGGAGGGTTGAAAGGAGACCTAATGTATTTCCCTTTCAGGAGGAAAGTAAGCTGGCGCCGTCTTCCTCCAGAACCAGGTAGGCTGTCTCTCACCGTTTCTGGCACCCGGGACTGCTGTTGTCAGCTCAGCCCTCTGTGCAGCTGTCTTGTTCTTTTCTTGCTCACTCAGGAGATGGGGAGCGTAGGCTAACATGTGGTGTTAGCTTTCACGACATAGTTGAAGGGAGACTGAAAAATTGAGGTTTTCTGGTAAAACTCTAGTTTTTTCTTAGGCACTCGGAATTAAAAAAAGAAACCCTTTCCCAGCATTATTTGATCTCACTCAAAAAACCCTCCATCTCCAGCTCTTCCCATGTGAAAGGAAAGGATATTTGTTTAGGAATTTCTGTCCTTTGTCTCAGAGAAGGGCAACATGTGCCTGTGTGTGCCATATGGCACTGTTTAACCTGTGTTGCTCGGACTGACTGGGGCTGTGTGAGGCGCTGATTCCTTTCAACATTCCAGAATGTTCTTTGAAAGTTGGGACAGTGAAGGATGCATCCAGAGTTGTGCTGAGAGGCTGTTCCTGTCTTCCGCAGCTTCTTGTTCAGTTGGTATTTGAGGGCTGTGAACAAGTGTCGATTTCCTTTTTTTCCCCCTGAAATAATGTTTGTGGGAAAAAAGTTTGACATTAAATGTTGGCTGGTTGTGTGGATTCAGGAAGACATACAGCCCCATGTGAGTAGTTAAAACTTCTGCTGGTTGTAAATGGGCTGAAAGTTCGGCTGGTGAGACAGGATTTCCACTGTTTAGTTCCTGATTATTCTGGTGACTTTAACCTAGAGTTAAAAACTATGTGTTATTTTCCTTCTTAAAGAATTAGCTTTTTTTTTTTAATGGATGGACAAACGCTTGAGCAGATGGCTGATCCTAATGTATAGTTTAAACTTTTGTGGCTGCTTTTGTTCTGGGATTATCTAAAGGCAAATCTGTGATGTTTTCACTGAAGAATTTGTTTTATTTACACATGTTATTTGGAGTGTTTAGATAGACATGTGTGTGATCACCAGCTTCTCTGTTACATGCTGCATCTCTGGAATGGATGGATGAGGGCATGGATGAAGAGTCTGCCTC